ACATTTTTAGAAATTCTCTTTATTTTTTCTAAATGTCTTTTTTTTTTGGTCGAAATTTTTTTCTAAATGTCTTAACTAATTATGTTAACTGTTTATCTAAAAACTTAAACAATCTAAATATGTTATTAGCAATGTAGAAATATTTAAATTAACTTTATTTAACTAACTCTTGTAGTGCGATTGACAAGTATTTGTGGAATTGATCCCTTATCTATACTAATTGTGATTGTTGTGCACTTGCAAGTAGTTAGTTTAGAGATAAAACTCGACACACATTAGTTGCAAACATTATTACTTGAATAAATTTAATTTTATAAATTATCAGAAAAGACTAAGGACTAAATATTTAATAAATTATCAAAAAGTAAATTATTGTTTTTCTTTTTGTCAATAACAATACAATATGCGAATTTGAATTTAGATGGTGGCACAATGCTGATACTAATACAAATCACACTATTTTACACGTCCTGAGGCAATTTTTTTCGTTTTTTTTTGTCATCTTGTGGGCCACAAGGACCGGCCCACTGGCCTATTTTGCTCCCAGAGGGAGGAGGAGGGGTCGAACCCCTTACATGGGTGCCAAGAGGGTGGTACATAGACCACCGTACTATGAGTCACATTATGAATTGATAGATAGATATCTTTATAGCTTGTTGTGCAATCTGGAGGAACGTTACATACAAACAAAATAACAAAGAATCTAATATGGGTTAAATAACCTCCCTTGACGTTTAAATAACATAGAATCTAAATGAAATAATTGACGCAAACTATTTTACCAAATTTATCTCTGAGGTTGAAAAGGATTTCTAGAGATTGGTGCTCTGAACAATCCGTCTCATAATTATTCTCTTTTCTAGGATGTTCCACATAAGCTCATAGTTAGATTTCCATCTACGGATATAGGTGCATTAAACACTGTACTTTAGCTTTGAAAAGCATTGTACGCTCTCTATGATAGCAAACCAATAGAGCTCGAAGATCGGATCGACCCTCTCCATGATCCATCTACTTAACATCTTACACCATGGGTTTGTTGATCCAAATACTTATAGACCTAAACTTCATATTTTATATTTATTTGTGCTTCTTTCCATGTCGGAATTTCACTAACAACGTGTTGTAAAATAAATGGGGGGTTCCAATTCTGCACCTTGGAAGACCGTTTTATTCATTTTCAAATAAACACATAATTCATTGGAATACTCTTTGGCCTCTGCTTTGATATTTTCATTTTGTTTGCGTCAAACGAGAAAGCTTAGATTAAAGCAAACCGAGCTACACGTGAATGTGTAACAACCGGATGGTATTGGTGATAAGACTCAAATTTGTAGTGCAAACATATATGGAGGGTTCCAATTCTGCACCTTGGAAGACCCTTTTATTCGATTTTCAAATAAACACATAATTCATTGGAACACTCTTTGGCCTC